TGTTGATGGGTAGTTTGATAGGCAGTTTAGGGCAGTTAACTTCCTTATTATTATATTTTTGCCTCAATTTTTTTCAATTACTCCTATGAATAAACTATGCATCGTTGAATAACTTAATGCTACTTTCAATTACCTACTACTACTTTGAATGCATCCTAAACTATATAAAAATCCTAAAATATTTCATTTACATTTTACTTTTTCACCTTCTTTTTGGCCATTGTCATAAATTGTGTTTTACTTTTATACATTTTTTCACATTATTTTTGCCCTTTTTTTAAAGTCTCCATTTACTTTTTTTTTTCTTAATATGCCTGTATTTTCAAGTTTTGGTGAATTCAATTGTGACAACAAATCCTTTGTCATCTTGAGGTATATATTTTTAAATGCATGAATAATTCTAATATCTCCCCTCCACCACTTTAATTTTATTTTCTTTCACTTTAAACAGTCAAACAAATTGAGTTGAAAGGAAGGATCCTTAATGATGATTTTCAGAAGGCAAGTAGTAGGAAAGATGGATGATACTCAATATATTTTTTAATGACACTTTATTTATTCTGATGCTGAGTTTGTATGGATCTGGTTCTGGTGAATGACAACTTTGATCAGAAAAATTAGGTTTGACAATAAAAAGGCATTTGGAAATAAATATAGAAACCTAACATGCATAATAGAAGATCTAAGAAGAAAACTAGAAGAAAGACAATAATTCGATGTACTTACAGGCCCATTTTTTTTTGAGCTAAGAAATTTAAGAGACATAAATCCACTTATGAATTCATGAGAAAAGACACATTTCTGGGACAAATCTTGAAACATTTCTGAAAGCACAGATAAATTTCAAAAAAATCACAGAGAAAAATTTCCAAAATTTTCTGAACAAAAGTTACAGTGACAGGGGTTGGAGCAATAGCACAGCAGGTAGGGCATTTGCCTTGCACGCGGCCGACCCAGGTTCGATTCCCAGCATCCCATATGGTCCCCCGGCACCACCAGGAGTGATTACTGAGTGCAAAGCCAGGAGTAACCCCTGAGCATTGCCGGGTGTCACCCAAAAAACAAATAAAATAAGATAAAATAAAGTTACAGTGACAAATAATGTTTTTGTAATCATCATTCAATTTTTCATCTGTGAAAGAAAGAGACAATGATTAAATAATTATTCTTCTGGAGAAGGAAGAGTGAAGTATTACTCAAGCACTGAATATATACTTTGTCTAAAATGATTAAAACTATATTTTGAACAGTAGGGTTCAGATTAAATATTAATCTTGTATTCTGAGAAAAAAGTGCAGACAGTTTCTCCAATCAAAAAATAAACATAGGTGCTAGAGAGATAATAAGATGCTTGTGTTTAATGTGGCCAACCTGAGATTAATCCCCTGAGTTAAATTCTCAGTGTCCTCTGAACACTGCCAGGACTGAGTAACCCCTGAGCACAGAGTCAGCAGTAAGCCCTGAGCACCATCGGGTATGCCCTGCAAGAAAAGAAAGAACCACAAAGTTGATTTCAAGATGGAAACTATGAACATTAAGTTTTTTGATGTGACTTGTTGCCATACATGCATGTAAGCATGAGCATGGTCACAGCTCAGGGGTACTTTTTGTGCTGACGTAAATCCATGTACATGAACCCTTAAACATTCATATGTCTAAAACACAAATTCCTGAAATAGAGGAAAATATAATGCGAAATGTCGCAGAACCAACATCCTGTAGTAACGGCACTACCTACAGAGATGTAGGTTGGTGGTCTTTAAAAAGTAAATTTCACTAAATTATTCTTATTTATTAAGACAAGTGGGCTGGAGCAATAGCACAGCGGGTAGGGCATTTTCCTTGCACATGACTGGCCCTGGTTCGATTCCTCCATCCCTCTTGGAGAGCCTAGCAAGCTACCAAGAGTATCCTGTCCGCACAGCAGAGCTGGCAAGCTTCCTGTTATGCCAAAAACAGTAACAACAAGTCTCAAAATGGAGGCGTTACTGGTGCCTGCTTGAACAAATTGATGAACAAAGGGAGGACAGTGCTATAATACTATTAAGACAAGTAATTCACTCTGTTACCTCAGCATTTGTTGTATTCATGTCTATATTTGATCAGGAAAATAAACTTTCCCTAAAACTCTCTTTTGAGACTAAGATTTTAATTGGTTTTCTTCTTCCTCTTCTTTAGTATTTTAGACTTGCAAAACTTCTGTATTGCTATTATTTTTGAAATTTACTTCTTCCTGGTAGTCTGTCAAGTTTATAACAGTAAAGATGTCCTTGTTTAAGAAATATATGTATTGTCTGAATGTAAAATTTTAAAAATAGATTGCTAAAGAATTATTAAAATTTATAATCATTTAGTTGATTTGAACCAAAATTATTTTGTTAGTTTGAAATATATCTAAATATAATCAATTTAATAAAACAATTTCAGAGCAATGTTTATCATTATAGTAGCGATATATGATCATTATCCTGCACTAATTTTAGTTGTTTTTGGAGATGCTTTACATGGTCAGCACTTATGCTTGCAACATTAAAATTATCACTGAACAGAATGTGTAAGCCCATTTGACTTTCAGCACATTTGCCTTAAATGCGTCTTAAAGTTAGATTATTTTTTTCAAACAACAGAACATAATGAAATTTTCCAAGTCAGAAGAAATATGGATATCAAATATTTGCCTTTCAAGAACAAGAATGAAATAATTAGATGAGTTCAATAGGAATGAATGTTACATTTATAATATGATTTAAGAAATTCAATCCATGAGTTTGTAGTATGCAATATTTTACTCCTTCCTTCTTTGTTATGAGAATTAAATTGATATAAGATAGATTACCTTGATTTAAAAAAAATAATGTGTACTAGATTCCTCGTTAGGAAAATGAAGATGGCAAAGCAGATAGGCCCACCTGTTAGTATATTAAGTTGAACAAAATGTAGTGATTACAAAAGAGTAGCTGAAATATATTGTAAAGAAGATAAGAGTTTGTATGACACAGTTTGCTTCTCCAGACATTCTGAACTTGAATCTCCAGCTCTGGTGGTAATGTTCCTTTCTTGCTAGTTTGAGGAGCAAAGTTTCCACATAGAAGTTTCATCTTCTGGTATCAAGAAGAAAAAGGAGGCCTGAATAACCTTTGCGAATCAGCTGTTCTTCCAATGCCTCTACCTCAGCGTAATCCTAATGGCAAAGTGCTGTGTTTAGGGGTTCTGCCACCCTTCAGCAAAGTATTCAGTACATTGGACCTACTTTAGTGACAATGAGGGCACCTCTGATTATGATCATGTTCAATTAAATTCAGCTGGTAGGGCATTTGCCTTGCACGTGGCCAACCTGGCAAACCCAGGTTCAATTCCTCTACCCCTCTCAGAGTGCCCGGCAAGCTACCAAGAGTATCTTGCCAGCACGGCAAAACCTGGCAAGCTACCATGACATATTCAATATGCCAAACACAGTAACAACAAATCTCAAAATGGAGACATTACTGGGCCCGCTCGAGCAAATCAATGAACAATGGGAGGACAGTGACAGTGACAGCTAAGACAAAGGTGCTGGAGCGATAGCACAGCGGTAGGGTGTTTGCCTTGCAAGCGGCTGGACTGGACGAGCCGGCTTTGATTCCTCTGCCCTTCTCGAGAGCCTGGCAAGCTACTGAGAGTATCTCGCCCACATGGCCAATCCTGGCAAGCTATCCGTGACGTATTAGATATGCCAAAACCAGTAACAACAAGTTTCACAATGGAGACATTACTGGGCCGGCTCGAGCAAATCGATGAGAACAACTAGAGGACAGTGACAGTGACAGTGAAGACAAAGTGAAGACCTTAGTGCTTTTATTTATTTTTTGCTTCAGCTATTGCATACCACTTATTAATATGAGGTGGTTCCCCACATTGCATTAAAAGTGGCTTGAGGGTAGTCCCTAGCATCCCAAAACCAAAAAGAAAGTAAAATCAAAGGGAAAAGGGAAAAGACTTCAATAGCAAAATTGTCCCCCAAAGATTAGGGGCTCTAAGTTTCTGCAGTGAATCTAATGTATATATTATATGTACGATGTATGTCAGACATGTATATAATGTATGTATGGTGTATATCAGACATGCATATATTGTATTGTGATGTACATCAGACATACATATATGGTATATAAGTAAGCCAAGAACTATCAATGCTCTGGGGGGACAGGAATAAAACACAGCATCCACCGTGAAGACAGATGATTTGAGAAGAGTAGGTTCTGTCGCCCAAGCACTGTGAGGTTGGGCCATGTGGACAGTCCTGAATTCTGTGTTCACAGGCCTGTTGGCTTTCCTGGGGATGGGAGCCATAGTCCTGTCACCCCCAAACACAGTACGCTCACTGTCCAGTACCTAGATTATGGGCCACACGTCCTGATCAAATTATTTGAATGATGACTTTTAAAGAACCAAGTGGCAAGGCCAGAGAGGGAGTGTAGCAGGTGAGTCACTTGGCTTGCATGCAGCCAATCAGGTTTGATCCTGAGACCTCATCTGATCCCTGAGCCCAGAACCAGGAGTAAGCTTGAAGCAGTAGCAGGAGTAAGCACTGAGCACTGGCAGGAGCAATCTCTGAGAACTCCCAGGAGTAATCCCTGAGCACAACGCCAAATTACTCTTCAGCTCTGCCAAGATGGATGTCTGAACACAGAGCCAGGAAAAAGCGGTGATCACCGTGGAATGTGGCTCCAAGAGCCGAGCACAGCTAGCTGGGAACTCCCTCCACTACACCCCAAGCAAAACAAAATAAAACTAACAAAGGAAAAGTGGCAGAGGAACCGTTCTGGCGTCCCTGAGCTTGCAGGCGGGAGCTGCAGTGCGCTCTCCTTAATCTGGTTGCTCACCGGTCCCAAGGAGAAAGGGCAGAGGGTGCGGGGCGACCTGATGCCCGCGGTGCAGGTGCACGCTGTCCCTCCTCCGTGCCCGCGCGTCCTCGTGTCCCAGGCCCTGTTCCCTAAGGTCTCCCGCTCCTCCTCTTGCAGACGCCCCCGGAGCAGACGCCGACACGCTCCGCGCGGGAAGAAGCGGCTTCACCGGCTGCCTGTCGGCGGTGCGCTTCGGGCCAGCGGCTCCCCTGAAGGCGGCGCTACGCCCCGCAGCCCCTGCCCGGGTCAGGGTCCGAGGCCACGTGAGCGCAGTGTCCGGCTGTGCTGGGCGCTCGGGGTCCGGCGCCCCTGCACGCCAGGCCACCCCGCTCGCCGGCGGTGCAGGTGCGTACCCTCCGCCCAGGTGCGTGCGCCACGGTGGTCGGCCTGTAGCCCCTGGGCTCTGTCCCTCCGCACCTTCCTGACCGCTCTGCAGCCTCGCCTCCCTCCTCTGCGTGGCTGTCCGCATCCTTTGCAGTGCTTCTGTTTTAAATGTGGGTTTCCCCCTCTCAGAAGCCCTCCTTTCCTCTCGCCTCGGTCATTATCCCTTTTTCTGCTGTAGGTCGTTCAGGAACCACAGATGAGGGAGAGCCCCTAGTTAATGCGGACAGACCTGATTCCGCGGTCATTGGAGGTAAGGAGGCCTAGAATGACCACGCCTCCCGTTGTTCCCCAAGTCAGAATAACCCTGCACCTAGCTGGGAAGAACGGGTCCCATCCTGCAAGGACCATAGCAGGCCATAAGGATTTGTTTCACGCAGGAATGTTATGTAGCAACCCAGCTCCTCTGGACATGCTAGAAGAAGGAAATCTTTCTTTTTTAAAGATTGTGTTAAAATGACACGGTTTCCAAAGATATTCATAGTTGATGTTTAGACAAGCAGGGTTCCAGCATGGCCCTATCCCCATGCCCCCACCAGAATCCCCTTCCCTCACCAGTGTCCCCAGGTTACCTACAGATGGCCTCCTTGCCAGGCACATTGTTAGGCCGGGTTGTTGTAGTTTGGATCTCATGTTTTCAGACTCGTTGGGTGTGTGGTTTGTCTATAGAGCAATACCACTTCTCTGCATCACTGGTGTATCAGAGGCCCTCGGCCTTGCCTTCGCCTGAAGATCCTAATGAAGGATACTGAAAGACACTAAAATAAGGAGCATGGTTGCATTTGCAAGTTGCCATTTATATTTAAATATTTCTCAGCATGTATTTATTTAAGAGGTATTTATTTTTATTTGTTTGATTTGACATAGAGTCTTACACATCTCAGTCTATTGACCTAAAACATTTTGAAATTAGATTAAAACTAAAGTATATATCAAGACAAAGAGCTAAACTATGCGAGCAGCAATTTTCTTTCTTTTTTGTTTTTTTGGGTCACACCTGATGATGCTCAGGGATTACTCCTGGCTCTCCACTCACAAATTACTCTGGCAGTATTCAGGGAACCAAATGGGATGCTGAGGATCAAACATAGGAAAGCCAAATGCAAGGCAAATACCCTACTCACCGTACTATCACTCAGGCCCCAAGTAGTAATTTTCTTAAGTGTGAAAATACGTAACTAGGACCAGGAATGTAGCTCAAGTGGTTATTCCTGGCATAGGCATGGCCTTGCATTCTATACCCTTTGCTGATCGCAAGGGTGTGGTTTGGTGGCCACAGGCAGAAAGCAAAAAGCTGGTTGGCCCTCACCAATGCAGCAAGAATCACTAGGATTGTGGGACTGGCCCCACCTGTAATTCCTTTTCAGATAGGTTTGATATCTCACACACATACATATAGTACATATAAATATATTGTCCTGGATTCATTTTATATTAGGTTATGTATATTTGAAGAAGTAAAAACTCAATGTAAATATATAAATATGTTCTTGAAATAGACTTTTCTCTGGTCTGAAAAATAAATATTCAATTTTCCTTCAATTCTCCCTACTTACCATACAAAGAACACATACACTCTTTTAAGGACATTACTGAAATGCTAGTTCCTTATAAACTCTGCTGAGTAGGAAGTAAATTGTTCTCCATTTGATAGCTGTCCACAGTAAGATAATTGCGCCCAGGCTGGGTCATCTGGCTGAGTGCCCACTGTTTAGTCAGACTGGACACCAGCTCAGAATGGATCTCCTCATTTTGCTTACTTTCTTCTGGACACCAATATTTTCCCCAAAATTGGCATAGTATTCAGACTTTTTTTAATGTGTTAGCAAACATGCTGGAATGTTCATGTTTTGATTCCTATATCAACATCTTTTATTTTTTGCAGTGAGTGTAGTATGGAATCCCAATTACATAATTCTAAGAATAAAAAGTATCTTACTTATAATGTACACTTCAAGGGATTCCTTTCATGTTAAAATCTGAATTAAACCTTGAAACATTGTTTACTTGTTCATTTGGTTTTGGGGTCACACAGCAGTGCTGAGGATGAATTCCTGGCTCCAAACTCTGGGATCGTTCTTGGCAGGGCTCAGGAGACTATATGGAAATGTGGGATTCAAATCTGGTTTGGCTACGTGCAGGCAAGTGCCCTACCTATTGCATTATCTCTCTGAACCTCTAGTTGATTTGTAAAGAAATGACTCGACTATAATGTAAAAGCCAATTTAAGACAATGTGATTTGTGTCTTCAGAATAGTAATCCAAGATGATAAAGTTGCACAATATCCTCAGAGTTGGTACCCACTTACTAGGAAGAACACAGATAGTAGTCAAATGTATGATAGAACAAAAGACATGGTCCCTAGAACTTCATTGCTTTTATCTAAATATCATTGGCTGGATATGAAAAATTAAGTCTCACCAGTGTTGTTTCCCTGAGGAATCTTACTTGTATCTTGACAGACGGAATGAAGAATGAGATCAAGGAAGCTCTTGAGAATGTAACAACCCAGATCAATATTCCTGGGTCCTCTTGCTATCTGCCACACATCTGTGCAGTGGAGTCACGGATTGTTCCCTAGTGTCTTGGCTACTGAGATCATTTCCTTGTCAAATCCAAGTATTTGTGTAATTGCTAATAGATTACACTTAATGCTTAAGGGATGTTATCAGTGAGTGGATTTTTCTACATTTTGCACGTTATTGTTTTCTCTCATTGAAAGGTAAGAATGGTATAGAAAATAAAATGTTACAGGAAAGAAGGATTAGCTTTAACTATCTTCAAACCTGGTAAATCAAAGAACACAAAGGATTACTAATATTGTATATGGGCAAATAAACTTGTCAAAAGCACATTACACTGGAGTTGCTGATAGGAAGGTAATGGAGGGAATCAGATGCATTTTTGCCAATTATCTCATCCTTTCCAGCTAGTGAATGAAGAAAGGTTATTTTAGAATCCTATTTAACCTCACAAAACAAACAAACTGATCAACCACGGCCAGAGAGACAGAACAGCAGATAGGATGTTTGCATTGTTCATGGCTGACCTGAATTTGATCCTTGGCATCCCAAATGGTCCCCCAAGCACTGCCAATAGTTTTCCCCAAACACAGAGTCAAAGTAAGCCCTGAGCACCATTGGTTGTATCCTCAAAACATGAAAAGTAGTCAATCATATACATAAAATCCTAGATGTTTTATTATATGGTGACAAGTGTATAATCAAGGAATCTTATAATTGTTACTGTTTTTTTTTTAAATAACACTGCAGTATCTCCATTTAAATGGAGTTTACCTAAAACATAGTCTACCCAAACTTCACCCAAAGAACTTTGGGTCTGTTGTATTCTACTTACATTGAAGTCTATTATTACATTACCATATACTATTTTAGGATAATTTACTAAAGAAACTAAGTATATAATATAAATTTTGAATCATGTAGTTAAGCAGTAACATATTTTATAGTATTATGTCATTAACCTATGATTACTATCAAGCCTCATAAAAGTATGTTGACTAGAGCTTTTTTATATCTTGATTTGATATAGATTGAATATCCGTTCTATACCAATATGACATTTTCAGTTAGCAGTTTAATGTTAATAGCTTGGAAATTTTAATATCACTAATGCAGTTATAAGTGATTTTTTAAAAATAATACTTCTATCCAGGAATTCCACCCCAATATTCTCACTCTGCTGTGCAATTAATATTGAGGATCACTATCATAGCCAAGATTTTCAATTCTTAAAAACATTTCCATTAAGATATGTCAAATAATTGACATATAACTATCAATATTTCTGCAAATAGACTATCATATTATCTATTATCTGTTGATGTATGATGAATTTTTACCCTTCTATCTATGTAATGCAACCCACATTTATTATATCACATTTTCTGTTGACTAGGAATTTGGTCATAGCTTAGCTGAATCTTCTGGTCAGTGACAGCATTAAGTATCATAAAGTTAGAAGGCTGAACAAATCAAAGTTTTAAAATCTAGATTTTATTTCTGGCTGCTGTCAAGAGCTTGCATTTGGCACTCTGAATCTTTCAGCCTCTCCTTGCCACATCCTTTCTCCCAGCATGAATATTTGCCACCTATCAGTCTTCAGAAGGAGAGTCTCCAGTGAGACAATGCTAGAACACCATGTTAATGTATCTGGTAGTCACTGTCACTGTCACGGTCCTCCCGTTGTTCATCGATTTGCTCGAGCGGGCCCAGTAATGTCTCCATTGGAGACTTTGTTGTTACTGTGTCTGGCATATCGAATACGTCACGGGTAGCTTGCCAGGCTCCGCCGTGTGGGCGAGATACTCTCGGTAGCTTGCCGGGTTCTCTGAGAGGGGCAGAGGAATCGAACTCGGGTCAGCCATGTTGGCCGCGTGCAAGGCAAATGCCCTACCGCTGTGCTATTGCTCCTGTACATATAATGAAGTATATTACTTATGTGCTATATTTTATTCATTAGAGACAAGACATAAGCCCTGCATATAAGCAATAGAAGGGGAGAAAAATATTGGTCTCCATGGATACAGATCCATTAAGACACCCCTTGGCCTCATACAGATACAAGATACACATGTTATACTACAGCAGTTCCAATAGTACAGCACCAGTACTATTATGAGAATATTATGAGAATATTTACATCATTTGCTCGAGCGGGCACAGTAACGTCTCCATTGGAGACTTTGTTGTTACTGTGTTTGGCATATCGAATATGTCACGGGGAGCTTGCCAGGCCTTTACCTTTTTTACCTTTATTCACATCATACTGGAGCGATAGCACAGCGGTAGGGCGTTTGCCTTGCATGCAGCCAACATGGCAGACCGGAGTTTGATTCCTCCGCCCCTCTCGGAGAGCCCGGCAAGCTACCGGGAGTATTCGATATGCCAGACACAGTAACAACAAAGTCTCCAATGGAGACGTTACTGGACCCGCTCGAGCAAATTGACGAACAACGGGAGGGCCTTTACCTTTACCTTTACTTTTAAAATAACCAATGCCTGCTTGCTTGTTAGCACGAAGAATGAGCCTTCTCTAAAAAGTCACACTTTTGTATCTAAGGGTGAAGCATTAGTATAAATTAGTATAAATTCAATAATCATATGTCTTTTGGATAAAGGTTTAAAACTTTAGATACATCTAAAAGTATGGATTTACAAGTGAACTTAGTTTTATATGACTTTGTTTATGGATATATATGCTCATATAAATTATTATATAGATATAAGCACTTTGATATAAATTATGTTAAGACAGTCTATTTGATTTTTAAAATGTAGGTTCTGAATTTGTATTTTTAACATTCTTCTCTTTCTAGGAGTGATAGCAGTTGTGATATTTATCTTGATCTGCCTCACTGGCATAGTGATATGTATTTACCAACAGAGATGGTCACATCAGAAAAATGAGACAAAAATTCCTCCGAATGGAGACAATGCTGAGACTGCTCTGAAAAGTGAGCCCAACCTGCAAAGTTCAGTCACTGAAAGCCAGAAAGAGTACTTCTTCTGATCTGCAGCCATGCTGTATTTATTGCAATGATGACTTGCCTTTCTTGTTCAACCAGAGCCCCTCTTGACCTTCTGGAATAGGTGGTGACAATAATGCCCACAGCTAGTCGGCATATAGATGCACTCTGCTCAGGGCTTGTTTATGATATGTGGAACAGGGACTTTGTGTACTCATTAATCACTCCTTGGCATTTTCTCAGAATTCTGACATGATGTTATAAAATTGAATTGTATTTTGCATAATGACCTTGGATTTTAAATAGAAGCATGGATTTACACTTAGTCTCTTAAAAATTTATCATTAAGGTTTATAACGGTCAGGGCTGGACTTGGAGTTTTATGCCATGTTCAAATCTGTGCTGTATTTTCTTCATCAATTACAGACTGACATATTTACCCCAGTAAGTTCTTCTTAGATGACCTCACCTGTATTTCCATTGTTCTGTGAAACAGAGTCCTGTGGTCAAAGATATATAAGAAAAAACTTGGGGGAGAAGCCTGTGCCAGCTAACCTTTTTTTATTAATGGTCTCTTTTAAATTAGTGTGGATATATCTAGTGGTGAAATGAGTATTGAATGTAAGCTATGAAATTTGTAGTTAGTAAAATGTGTAAGAATTTTGTTCTGTGATAATCTGCTTTTTGTCTTTTTTAGTTAGCCTTGATAATCTTTGTAAATTACATTAACAATCACCCAATTCACTGTATCACTGTATCACTGTTATCCTCTTGTTCATCGATTTCCTCGAGCAAGCACCAGTAAAGTCTCCTTTGTCCTAGCCCTGAGATTTTAGAAAGTGCCACATTCCTGGCTCTTTCAGGGTCAAGGGAATGAGACTCATCATTTTTACTGGTTTTTGGCATATTGAATATGCCATGGGGAGTTTGCCAGACTCTGCTGTGCGGGCGAGATACTTTTGGTAGCCTGCCGTGTTCCCCAGAGTAAGAACTAGAAAATAAGGTGTCACACGACCGGGAATCACCCAATTATCTCATAAAATATTTTCTAGCTAAACGTAGGCCCAGATATGAACCCATGCTGAACAGTGCACATATATCCTTTATTTCATCTGAGTACTAAATGTCTTTCCTTTATTTTACTTACTTACATTTTAGTGGGGCCATCCTGGCAGTGTTCATAGGCTGTTCCTTGCTCAGTTCTTGGGGTTGCTCCCTGAAGTGCTTGGGGGATTACGTGATGCTGGGGACTGAACCCAGTCATTCTGCATGTATTGTATGTTCTCCACCCTTTGAGCTGTCTCCAAATGTTCTTCCTTTAAATTTGATTTTGGTCACGGCATGGTCCTCCCGTTGTTCATCGATTTGCTTGAGCGGGCCCAGTAATGTCTCCTTCATAAGGCTTGTTGTTACTGTGTTTGGCACATTAAATTTGATTAGAAAATTTTTTTCCAAAGTCTTTTGATTCTTTTTCTGAGAGTTACTGTATAATCCTTTGACTTCTCATGACTGTCTTTTCATTTTCAGAGAAAAAATCATAGTTTGGTTTTATTTGTTTGTTTTGTGACCCACTCAGCAGTACTAAAGGACAACTCCAAGCTCGGTGCTAAGGGGTTGCTTATAGTAGTGCTCAGGGAACAAACCCCAGGGCGTCCAACCTGTGCTCCAGTCCTTTAAAGTATCACAATAACCTTAAAAAGTCACAATTTGAAACTAATGTTCCCTATTTAAATTTCTACAGTTTCAATTTATATAGGCAAAAAGTTTCTTAGAAGTTTTCTTCTGGTAATTATTTGAAGTAACACTGAGAAGATGTGGATGATTCCCTTAGAAAAATTCAAATTAGAGGATCTATAATCCTACTCAATTATTTGGATTAAATTTCTAATATAGCACATAAAATTTCTAATATAGCACATAGCAACTACTTCATCTTCTGTTTAGAGATAGCCATATTAATATTGGGAACAAAAATTTTGTATTGACTATTGGAATTTTCCCGGTTAACTACTTTTAATGACAAATAATTGATAGAATGACTATTTAATTGGAGTTTCTTACTAGAAGTGTAGTTTTGTTTTTCTGGGGTTTTTTTTTTCAGTTTTTTTCTTTTTTTGAGAGCTTGTTTGGAGGTTCTAGCAGAGCCTGGCAAGCCACCCGTGATGTACTCAATATGCCATACATAGTAACAACAAAATCTCCAATGGAGACGTTACTGGGCCCGCTCAAGCAAATTGATGAACAACGGGAGGGCCTTTTCTTTTTTATTGAATCACCATGAGAGAGACCATTTACAAAGCTGTTCATGATTGGGTTTCAGTAATACAGTGTTCCAACACCCAGCCTTCCACCAGTGTTCATTTCCCAGCACTAATATCCCAATTTCTCTTCCACTAATTCCCAGCTCCTTTTCCTCCGCCTCCCACTCCACCACCACCTTTACAGCCTGCTTCTGTAGCAGGATCTATCTCTCCCAACTCTCTCTCTCCTCTCTCTATCTCTCAAACTCTCTCTCTCCCCTCTCTGTCTCCCCTTTTGGATATTGTGGTTTGCAGTACAGGCAATGGAAGGTTATTGTGTGTATCCCTTTACCTACGTTTTAACACTCTGTTCTTGTCCAGCATGATCATTTCCAACTATTATTAATATATTGGCCCTTTCTCTATCTTACCTACCCTCCACGCACAATGCACCCACCATACACGCTTGTGGTAGATTATGGAATCATCATTTAAAATCAACAGTCTATTTTTTTTAATGTGCTAAACCTTCCTAGTTCACCTTATATGTAACAACCAGGAATTAATTTAATTGTGTACTTTGACTAAATCAGGACCAATTGAAACATATATTTAGCCTAGTTACCTTTTTTTAGTATATATCTAAAAAAAGGAAGAAAATCTTCTCTGTTAAACCGTCCCTTGAAAAATACTTTTCCCTTACAATTTCATGCTAGTTTTCTATTGCTTTTTTATTTCTGTTGCTTATCTTCAATCTCACTGATCCTGTCTTCGGCTGTAGTCATTCTATTGCTGAGGGCACCCACGGAGTTTTTAATTTCATCTACCGAATCCTTGATTTGTGACACTTCTTTTTGTAGCTTTTTTATTTCTGCTCTCATTTCTTCCTGTATTTTCTCGACTATCCGTTCCACTGTTTCTTTCATTTCTTCCTCTAGTTTTCTGGATGTCTGCTCCATTGATTCTTCGAGTAGTTCTTGAACACCCTCAGCATTTCATCTCGGAATTCTTTATCCGAGAGAACATATTTGTGGGTAACCCCTGTTGAGGATTTGGGACTCTTTTCTTCATCTTCTCCTTGTAGTGGAGATTTGTGCTGTTTCTTCATGCTGTTGTAGTTGTCTAGAGGTAAAACCTTGGAATTCACTAGTACTGTTCCCTCTTATTGTGGGAACGGATCCTGAATAAGGTTGGTTGATGATGTTCATCCTTCTCCTTTTCTAGGACATGTCCTTCCTCTCAGGCATTATTCTGTGGCTTATGACAGGCATCTAGTGAAGCATTGTAGGAGGTGCTTTTTCATATTGGGCTTGTACAGCTTCTTGCATACACTGGTCTTTTGTTGGAATTTGAGTAGGTCAGTGGATTAGTGTTGTATTGTATTTGAGGCAACCGGGAAATTTTCCACAGAATTGGGTGACAAAAGTTGTGAGTCGAGAATGCTGGGAGTGGAAAATAGAACTGTGGTGACACAGAAGGCCACGCCCACTTTTGAGGAGGGCACGCCCCTTACAGTGGAGGCCACACCCCCAGCCGGTCCCAGGGACTGCTAACCTCAGAACCTGTAGAGGAGGGCGGTTCGGAGATGAGGTGGGCTGGCAGTCTAGCAGAATCAGGCAGGTGTTTCCCAAAGTCTCCTCCGGCTGCCCAGTGGTGGGTGCGCGATGCAGGGAAGGGGGACATTCAGGGCACAGGACAAGGACACGCTCCCTGGCTCCCCAACACACCTGCAGAGGAGGGCAGCGCAGTGATGAGGTGGGCCTGTTTCCTTTTTTCATGTCTGCTTCGTCTGTGGGATGTAAGTCACAGGTTTGCTCACATTCAATGGAGAGATATTACTTAAGGACTTGAGCCTGTAGGCTGAGATAATGGGGACTATGTTATAGTTCATCTATTGAGTAATATGTTTCTATTAATGTTTCTCTAAAAAAGGTTAAGGAATGTTTGGGATGTCAATAAAATATGAGAGTTTTGTCTTGGTGAATGATGTTCTCACTACGTCCTCCAAAGTTTATATAACTTGGGAATTTTTTTAACACAAAAGTGATAGCTTTATTTAATGCATAGTCGAGAAAATATCAAATTAATGAACTTTTAATCTTACATTCAAATATATTAATTACTTTAAAAGCTGGAATTTTACAAGTTTATTAACAGTGAAATCCACTGCATTTTACTCTCTGAAGAGAAACAAAGTATTTGAATGAAATTGCAATGAGGAATCATCCACATTTGCTTAATGATCTATACATTTTCTTTGCTTATTGGTTAATGACAATAAATTTTGGATAAATTGGATAATATTATTAAGAGAACAATAACATTTAAATTCTGAAATTATATTGTTTTTCCCTAAAATATTAAAAATATGTGCAAATGTATACTTTCTGTAGTGATGTGTGAATTTCTTTATCTAACAGCTGTTTTTTGTTTCCTTTCTATTCAGTTTTCAGTTTATGACTCTACAATAATTTATTTGTTTCAGGTACACTAATTATTATTATAACTAATATTTGCTTTTGGTTGTATTATTTTCAACGGACTTCACTGTCCATCCCGAATTATTTCAGACATTGATTTTTCATACAATCCTTGCTTTATATCATAAGTTTTGAACAATGTAGCATAACATCTAATGTTTCTTTGCCAAGAAACATAAAATCAGTCACCCTTATGGATTTGGTTTTATGTAAGAAATTATTAGAAACCTGAATAGGAATATTAGTGTACATATAATATATGTATAATGCATGTATTTTTCCATGCATGCTGGGAAACTGCAACCAAATCTCACAACTTTCACA